AGGAGGAGGAGGAGGAGGAGGAGGAGGAGGAGGAGGACAGGGAGGAGGAGGAGGAGGAGGAGGAGGAGAAAGAGGAGGAGGAGGAGGAGGAGGAGGAGAAGGAGGCCGGTTTCACACGCCCTGTTTCCAGAGGCCACTCCTGGGAGGTCTTCGCCATGACGGTGAAAGTCTAGGACCCCCGCTCAAGTGGCCATGGAGCCGGATCAAGCTCGACCAAGCTCGGAATTAAGCTGGATTGGTCGGGACTAAAGGGAATGCAACGGGAACAAGCCGGGTGAAGCGGGAGCAGCCCAGATTGGGCCTGTCTTTGATCAGGGATATATCAGCAACGACTCAAAATCCAACTTCCCAGGAGTTCTATCTCAGCCTCCTTGCGCGGCCAGGGAGGCACATGCACTGGCCCTGGACTCAGGATTGCAAGGTCGGTGCACGTGCGCACTTCTCGCCGCCCGGTTCCCTGCACGTGCCCATTCCGGTCTCATCTGGAGAGCCGCGGCGGCAACGGGCAGGCTGCAGCGCTGACAGCGAGGTCGGGAGGGGGCGGAGCGGCTCACGGAGGAAACATCCTCCTCTAACTGGCGATGCATCGTCGATGCAGTATTCGGCCTGACCAAAGGAACGATAAATAAGGTACAACGCTCCTTTTTCCCCAAGCAAGTCTACGAAGTTCCTTCTGGAAAAGCACCAGGAACGGAGCCCCTTTTGAAAAATATGTGTTCCTTATTCAGGCCGGATCTTGCAGATGGGCGGTGTGACCCCCCGATCGGCGGATGGGCTGGGGGGATACTTTGTCGATCGCGAGCGTAGCGGAAATTCCGAACGCCGTCCGAAAGCCGTAACAAACACTAGCTACGCGCTGGGGGGGGGTACTTTTTTGGTCGCGGCCGCGCAGCAGAGGGCAGGCGGCGAGAGGGGGTCCGGGGCACGGGCCAGCCTCATTAGCTACTAAGCGACACGCAAGCCGGCCAGGCCAGCACTCAGAAGCAGCGGCTGAGGTGCAGCAGCGGCTGGTGGTACTGGATGGCTGGTCTGCAACGCCACAGTGGGAGGAATCTGCTCTCGGAGGCTCGCGCGGATGAATTGGATCTGAGCTGGATCTCCCTACCCGCCGCGCGCGGCGCTCCAGTGTCGGCGCCCGAGGCGCCGCCAGCGGGTTTCAGCGCAGATCCGAGAGAACCGTGCGGACCTGCGAAGACGAATGTTTGTGTCGTTTCTTCTTTGTCGATGGCAAGCCAGATGCAGCGATGCAGCTCGGACTTCGGATCCGCCGTATTTTGGTGAATTCTCCGACTTAGAATTGTGTCGGAAATGTGCCCCAAACGATGCGAACACGTAAGGCAGAAATTTCCGCCTCAGAAGGGCGGATAGTTCCGCAATGGTTCTGCCGGACACGGCGTTGGCAAAAGAGGGCGGAAATCGTCATCAGAGGAGCTTGAAGAATAAGGCGGAGGTTTCCACCCTACTCTCGGGGAGTCGTAAGAAGCAACACCCGCTGCAAACATCCCACGAAAACTCGACGACTGTCAAGATCTTTAAGAATGGCCCGTCAAAAAGCGTTGGCAAACCCGAGTTCCGGCGAACTCGAGTCTCACGGCTCCCCGATACTCACGAAATCGCCCAAAGTACGGTGCATTCGAAGGCAGGCCCCCCGCCATGCCTCACATGCCCGGCAGCCCCCGCTTCCGCCTGGCCGCTCTCCGCACGCCAGCAACTGCCTCACTGCGCCTCCTCCGCACGGCGCCCGGCTTCGAAGCACGGCGTCGCCCGAGGAGTTTCTCGCCCAGCGCCTCCCGAATCCTCCTCTGCAGCTCTTCTCGGAGGAGGGCCAGTCGAGACGGCCCTCCCTGGCGTGTTTCGTCCTGTGTGGGCCTCCGGGGGGCTTCTCGTCGCCGCGGCTGGATCCGCCTCAAGATGGACCCCAAGAGGGGTCCAGGCCGGGGGCCGATTGTGAGCGGGACTGGGCCGGGTCGGAGTCCAGAGAGCCGCCATTGTCTCAACCTGTCCTCCTTCGATCTCCGGACACCTCCTCCCGGGTGCTCTTCTTCAGCCCCAAGACGCAGACGCCTTTCCGCCTCTTCAGGCGCTCACAGTAAGGAACCACGTGCCCGTACCGCGGCGCGGCAATGGACCCGAAGAGCAGGGACCCGGACCCGAAGAGGGCCTCCACAGCCTTGCAGAACTTCTTTGAGTGCATCTCCATTCGGCCGATCTCGTCGATGACGTAGATGTCGGGATGCGGTCTCGCTGCTGTGAGCACGGGCACGACTGTCTCGTCGATTGCGCTCACGTCGACCTTGTAGGGCCCCGTCCGCGCGCGCCAAGCGCTCGAGTCGACCCCAGAGGCGGTGGCCTTTCTCGCCAGGGCACGCCGGACTCCAGAAGGGTGGCACACGATGTCGAAACCGTCTCTGGCGCTGCCCTTCGTCTGCAGGGTTTCGGCCGTGTAGAAGCCCTGGCAGCGAACGCCCAGGGACGCCAGCCTCTGGACCTCGCGCTCGATCATGTAGGTCTTCCCGCAGCCCGGCTGCCCGCTGATCAGAATCCATCGGGGAGGCGCGGCTGAAGAGGACGGAGAGGCAGGCCCAGCCTTCCGAGCGGGGGCCGGGGAGGCCCTCTCCGCCGCGGCCTTCCCCATGCCGCGGCCACTGCGGGGACGGTCCGAGGGGGAGCTCCAGAGAGGTGGCAGGGCCCGGGCCCGGCCTCGGCCTGGGGCCCGAGCGACCTGGGGCCGGCACGTCTGCCGAGGAGGGCGGAGTGCCACTGGGCGCAGAAGGACGTACGACGCAGTCACCGGCACGATACACCGTTCTCTCGGAGGCACACGTCCGACCCGAACAGGTGCAGAGCGCGCAGGACTCGGAACACACGTTGCTCCCGAGCGGTGCCGCCAGAGAGCGCACGCCACCGAGAGTTGTCCGTGGGATTTCTCCGAGCGTGCGCGTCGCCCCCGCGGGACCGACCCGCGCACATCGTGCGGGTATGCTTGGGCGGTGCCAGCCATCGTGGCCGGCTGGAGGCGAGGCGGGAAAGACGGCTGCAGGCAGGCGGCGAGATCAAATGAAAATATCCCCCATTGTTTCCCATATTTTTGGGGTTTTCGTATTCCCCCCCACTCCCCATATTTTCCCATATTTCCTGCGGAATCAGCGATTCATCGTGTCTGTGTTTTTTCTCCTCCTGAATCATGGAGGGGACACCCTAGAGCAGTGCTGGCCGTGATCGGTCGCTGCCTCGGGGCTTGGGGGGGGTGCCGAATCCAGGCCGCGGGCCCGAGACTGACGGGTTGTGACTCGACCGCCCCTGCAGCGGAGGGCGCCAGCTGAGACAGGAGGGGGCGTGGAGGGAGGGGGGGATGGAGGGTAGGCACGCGACATGCCGAGAGTGTTTTTGTTCATGCTCTCTGGCCCCAGCGTGAAGGCGCGCTGGCCGCAGTCTGCGGCTGGGGGACTCTGTCAAAAACCGATCCTCCACCCCTGATGTCAAAGCAGGTTCAGGCTGGGAACGCATGTGCCCCACACACGTGCCACGCGTGCCACGCGTGCCGCGCGTGCCGCGAGTGCCGCGCGTGCGAAGCGCAAGGCCAAGCGCACCACACCCGTGCCGAGCGCACTCTGCGTGCACGGTCCATCCAAGAACATGCAGGAAGAGGAGGAAAAGGAGGAGGAGAAGGAGGAGGTGGAGGAGGAGGAGGAGAGAGACCTCCTCCCCATCCTCGTCTTCATCTACCTCCTCCACGTGGGCAGAACGGGACGAGAAGGTTGAGGATGGTGGCGAGGAGCACGGGGAGAATCAACAGAAGGATAAGGAGTAATGTAACAAGAGTGAGGGTGAGGAGGATAATGACGATGACACAATTTTGGACAAAGACGCAAAGAAAATGCGAATGCTGAGGTGGCAATAGCACGGAACATGAGAAGGAGGAGACATATCTGAAGGATTGTGACGAGGAGAAGGAAGAGCAGCATGACTAGAACGACTTACGGAGGAGGACAACAAAAACATCTGCATACACTGTTGGAGGTCCGTACGGATTTCTTGGATCGAGTCCAGCGCCGCTTCAACCCCAACCAGTTCGGGCGAACCAGCAGGAAACTATTCACCATCCTGTGGTGTTGGGTCCTCGTTTTGAAGAGACGGTCCCCGCGTCCCTCCTCCCTCCTCCCTCATTCCTCCTTCCTCCATGCGTTTCACCCACCCAATACAGCGTTTCGTGGCCCTGTTGGGGACTCCAACGAAGCCCCCAGTGGGACCGCCCGCATGCGTCCCCGAAAACCATACATTTACGCCAACCTAGTACAGCGCTTCGTGGCCCCATAGGAAACTCCACCGAAGCCCCCAACGGGACCGCCCGCATGCGTCCCGGAAACTCATTCTGGCATTCTCACCCACCCACCCAGTACAGCGTTCCGTGGCCCCGTAGGAAGATCCACCGAAGCCCCCAGTGGGACCGCCCGCATGCGTCCCAGAAAACCAAGTCGGCATTTTCACCCACCCACTATAGCGTTTCGTGGCCCCATAGGGAGCTCCACCGAAGCCCCCAGTGGGACCGCCCGCATGCGTCCCGGAAGCCCAATTTGGCATTTTCACCCACCCAGCACAACGTCTCGTGGCCCCATAGGGAGCTCCACCGAATCCCCCAGTGGGACCGTCCGCATGCGTCCCGGAATCTCATTCTGGCATTCTCACCCACCCAGTACACCGCTCCGTGGCCCCATAGGGAGCTCCACCGAAGCCCCCAGTGGGACCGTCCGCATGCGTCCCGGAAACTCAATTTGGCATCTCACCCACCCAGTACACCGCTCCGTGGCCCCGTAGGGAGCTCCACCGACGGCCCCAGTGGGACCGCCCGCATGCATTCCCCCCCACCCAGTGCAGCGCTCCGTGGCCCCATGGGGGCTCCACCGAAGCCCCCAGTGGGACCGCCCGCATGCGTCCCGGAAGCCCATTTTGGTATTTCACCCACCCACTACATCGTCTCGTGGCCCCATAGGGAGCTCCACCGACGGCTCCAGTGCTACCGCCCGCATGCGTTCCCCCCACCCAATGCAGCGCTTTGCGGCCCCATAGGGAGCTTCAGCGAAGAAGATGTTCACAATTGCAGCATCCACAACTGCATTTGGTTGGGTCCTTCGCCAGGATCATTGTTACAAACTCTTCGAAAGGGTTGGGAGGGAAGACGGAGGGGCCCGGCCCACGGACAGGCGGGGCGGGAGGCGCACATCGGCGTCCGCGCCGGTGCTGCTCGAGAAGTAAACCTGGCTGACAGCCGTGGAGTAGACGCAGCTGAAGGGGAGAGCGAACGAGGTGAAGTCCGTCTTGACCACGGCGCCCTTGCCCACGTAGGTGGCGGCGTTGCTGAAGCACTCCGCCTTCGGGGCGTCGTGCGTCCCAAACCCTCTGGCGTCGTGAAAGACAAGCACGACGGAAACGTTTGGAACAACTTTCGCGTCCTGGGGGTCCTCGCCGGGCATCGGGACTGTCAAATAACGACAACCAGGATGACAAGCCGGTCCGCGGAAATGGGTCGGAGGCTCTGGGGTCGACGCTGTGAACAAAATCATGACGCCAGGGTCTGGGTACAAGGGAAGGGAGTACCCGATCTGGACTGGACTGCCCCTGGAAGAAATAAGTGCGAGCCTCCAGCTGGGCGCGTGACCGAACCCCACCTTGGAATAAACCCTCCCGTCTACGAACCCCCGGCGCCTTGCTGGTCACGTCGGGCAGGCCCACGTCGTAGCCTCAGGCTTCGACCAAGAACGCTTTGCAAGAGGGGCCAGCGCAGCCAGAAGTCTTGCAGAGCCTGTGACCAGACTTCTGCGCTGTTTGAGGAACCCCTGCAAGAGAGGAGAGTGGCCGAAGCGACTCAAGCGAAAACTGGTTGGGACCCGGCAGAGATCGAGAGGCCGATGATTACGGACGCAATAAGAAACACTTGTGGGCAAATCGTAGGCCCGGGCTGATTCATCAGCAGGCTGAGCCCCGCTGATATCGGTAAGTCGGGAACAAGTCTGGCGTTGATGCTGCATCGGCACTGTGCTCACAGTGTCCTACGGCCTGTCCAAGAGCATTGTAACAGCACCAACGATATGGGGTTCGGCGACCCACTTAGCAGACAGCTCGGCAGAATATGAGCTGGACGTCCAGGAGCAATGCAGTGACCGAATGTCTGATATAATACAAAACGAAGTTGGATGAAATGGTGTGACAGCAAACCGTATGATGTTGGCGACATTTCACAGGGCGATTCGCGAACGATCAATGCGGCCACACAGGGATAGCATAAGCCCCGTGAATCAAAATAAACGTGTCCGTTTCGATAGATTGTAGCTGTTCCGTACTGTCCTTGGTAATGCATGTCTCTTGTGAGTTCTAGATTGCCGCAACGTTGTCTGACTTGTTGGCGAATCGATGGGGGAAGCTTCCTAGCAAAAACATTGCTGTTGCATTCGAAGGTCGGAGGCTATATTGCGTACAAGTTTTGGAGAAGCGTCACAGCATGATACGCAACAATGCATTGAATGTTAGCCAGCTTGGATTACAAACAAGGAGCTCTCGTAAACTATGCATCTACACGATATAGTCTACGTGGTGCAAACCATGTGGTGCAATCTCCTTGGCGAGAAGCAATGCAACATAATGGGAAGCAATGCCAAGCAATGCAAAGCAATCCAAACTGAGCAACGCAATGCAAAACACGCAAAGCAATGCAATGTAAGGCAAAGCCAAGCAACGCAATGCAAGGCAGCGCACATCAGCGCAACACAAAGCCACGTAAAGCAATTCAATGCAGAACAGTGCAACGAAGGGTTGAGTAAGGCAAAGCATTGAAACAACTATGAAACAATGCTAAACAATGCAAAGCAATGAAACGCAATGTACTGCGTCTCAGAGCAGTGCGAAACAAAGCACGGCACCGCAATGCGAAGCAATGCGAACCAATGCAAATCAGTGCAATGGGATTGCCGCGCAATGCGATGCGACGCAATGCGATTGCACAGCAATGCAAAGCAGTGCAGCGCAATGCGATGGCAATGCAACGCAGTGCGATTGCAATGGACTGCGATTGCAATGCAGAGGGGGTTGCAGCGAGGCGGCGGCGGCGGGCGTAAGCGGGGCCGCCGGGGTGGCAACACGTTTTTGGGATTGGGAAAAAGTTGCGGCGCCGGACGGCAACGGGGCCGCCGGGGCTGGGGACGGGCCCAGCTCCTTCGAAGGCAGGCAAGAACCCCTACAAGTGCAAGCGCTGCTTGGGGAACATGAGCGGCCCCGTTTCTGGGCGGGCAGAACTCGAGCTACCTGTCCCTTGATCAGCAGATGGGCTTGCCCGTCGATGCGCGACCGTGCCATCGGCACTGCAGAGGGCGTCCCCAAGTCCGCAGGAACCCTCAACACTGAGTGTCGGAAGCGAGCGGCGTCGAACCCGCTCGGGGCTCGCAGAATAGAGGACAGAACATCCACCCCCAGAACAATCACCCCGACAAGCGGGGCCGTTTACTAAACGCCCCGAAAGAAGGAATCGAACAGGGCAGGGTTGTTTAGTAACCGCCCAGGGCCGTTTAGTAAGCGCCAATCGTCGGGGTCTGGGTGGTTTTCCCTCCCTTGACAGAAGGCCTCACGAGGCTCCCAGGTGGCCCCAGAGAGGCCTCCAAGAGGTCACGGAGCGGCCCCCCAGAAGATCCCGGGAGGCGTTCACAAGGCCGCTGGTCCACGACCCAGGCACGGTGGCGTGTCGGGTCGAAGGCCACGACCACTCGGAGGCCGCAAGATGCAGTCAGAGCCCCCAAGAGGCCGCGAAGAGAGTCCCAAGATGCCACATCCTACAAGCCTCGTCACAAACAAATTCGAAACGTCGTTCAAAATCGAAACGCCCCCATAATTCTGGAAGAACTTGCAAGCAGATGCGTTCTTCAATGCTGCTAGGACGCTGCTGGTGTTCGGACACCCCTGCGCGTGGGCCAGACGCCTCATGCAAACATTAAGGTAGCGCCGACCGCGCAGAGG